GGCATCCGCAGCACATGTCCTAGCCATCGAAATCTCTGGAGCGAGATGACGGCACTCAGAGGACGACTGAGATTGTCTGCGGTAAAGATTCTTCGGTGATTCGCTGTTGCCAACGTATTCTGGTGATGCAACGAAGGCAACGGCGGTCAAAGATACTTCATCTCCGTACGTTTTCTGCTTAGAGGGGCTAACTCTCACAGCCGTGGGGTAGGACAGAGAGTACTGTGGCATTGTAAACGCGGCCTTTCAAGGAGAGACTGAGATCGCATCGGTGCCACAAGTGACGTAGGTTAGCGAAAGCCACTCGAGCCTTGCGGATACGCGCTGATATTTCTTCCGTCAGTCCTCTTGAGCTGAAGCAACTCCCGAGATAAGTAAAGTAATCGACAATTTCCAACTGGTCGTTCATGAGTGTGAGGACAAGTGTAGCCTCTTGTAAGTCTTGTAGTAAAACCCTACATTTCGATGGAGAAAATGTCATACCGAACTGCGTGACAGACAATGCTAATTTACACAGGACGTTTTGAGCGTCCTGTGAGGAGTCGCAGAGTAAAACGATATCGTCAGCATATTCCAAGTCACGGAGTCGATCGCCTGGGAAGAGCTCCACACAAGGAGCGCTGCAGTTTTCTAGAGCGCTACTTAGGATTTGGGCTATTGCGAAATTAAAGAGGAAGAGCGAAGCTGGGCACCTTTTTCGAACTCCGTTTGTGATGGTAAATGGAGGGGAGATGCGATCATAGACCCTGGTGCGGCCTGATGTGTTTGAGTAGACGGCTTTGAGAAGGTTTACATACTTCTCAGGCACTGCCTCCCAACAGACAAGTCCAAAAAGCTGCTCTGTCAACTGAGTTAAACGCAGCACGTATGTCCAAAAACAATGATGGTCGGTCTACTGAACGTTTGACGTTGCTCGAGGATCTGGCGTAGCGTAAGTATGTGATCAACGCAGCTCGGGCCAGGGTGGAATCCAGCTTGTTTTTCGCGAACATGACGCTCCGTTGTCCAACTGAGCCTGCGAAGGATCAACGACGTTAACAGCTTGGATGCAATAAAGATGTGAATGATCCCTCGGTNCTCGGTGATTGGAGCAATCGTGACGGGGGCCCTTCTTGAAAACAGGCACGACGTCCGCCAAACTCCATTCAGATGGAATGGGTTCAGTATGACAGGTGGTTTGGAATAAGGAAGTTAGTTCGCGAACAAAGCTTGCATCACCGTCTTTGAAAAAGGCCGGAGGGAGCTCATCTAGGCCGGACGATTTGTGGCGTTTCAGAAGTTTGCGCTTTCGGGGGACTTCTTCCTCGGTAGGCGATGAAATGTCCACGGACCTTGGTGCACTACAGACATCGGGAGATGGAGGTGATGATGTCAATGGCCAACTGAATTGTTGATGAAAGTGCTCTGCTCAGCGCCCAACCCGCCACTGTAGATTGTGGATACATTCGCCTTTAATTTCGGATATGGTTTCACTGACGCATTGTTTTTTGTTACCGCTGGCTCGGATTAGTCGAAAAAGTTTCAGAATATTATCGCAGGCCGAGGCTAGTTCCATCTCGGAAGCGCGTTGTGCCCACCAGGTCTCTCGATCCTCTTTTAGGAATCGTTTCAGTTCAGCACTGAGAGTCCTACGAACCGTGTTGCATTCACTGCCTGGGGGGATGGTTCGATGAGTGTCGAGCAGTTGGAGAGAACGTGCCGAAACCCAGTAATTGACTGTGCGTTTGGTAAAGCCACATGCTGTGGTGGCAGACTCGTGCATGGCGTTACGGATCTGAGTCCACTGGTTGTCAACGTTCGAGGATAACAGACTGTCTAAATCAGCAGCTAACGTATTTTGGTAGGCGCTAACTACATTTAGTCGGTCAGTTTCATCAAATCGAATCTTCTCGGGTGGCGTTGCTGTTTTCCGCCAAAGAGCAGAGAGAATTTCGCGTACACGGATGGCGCAGAGTCGACTTTTGATTGGAATCCAGTCGAGTAAAACTGCTTCTGCACGTGCACTTAGTGCTATCCCCACGCCGGCCTGACCAGCAGCCTCGGCCATCGGAGGGTGAACGAGCTTGCAGAATCCGGAGACGGTGAAGCGAGTTGCAGCACGGTGCTCGAATTCTGTTGCCCTGTCTCAGTAAGGCGGCAAACGTCCAAGGCAAGCGTTTCCACTGTGCGAGGGGGTGCTGCCTGAGTCCCAACTTGCATAAGTATTCGAACGTTGAAAGTCCCTAACTTCATCTGCGACCGGGGCGCGAGTACCTTTTTCGGAATAACCTGATCGGAAGCTTGTTTCTTTCACATGGGGACAAGACTATGCTTTCTGCCGTTGTCTTGAGCAACACACTGTTGGAGAATCCAAATAATAGGCGGTAAACCGAGAATAGGAATGTTCAATAATTGAGGAAGGGAAAGAGTGTGATCTGTCGGTGTGGTAACGTGGAAATCTGTGGAACCGACCGCCAACACCTCGGTCAAAGCGCGCATAGTTAGAGCGAAAAATTCGGAAATGTTTAATGTGTGTTCATGAGTTTTGTTAGCATGTTACTTCCTGGTCGCCCTGACCGAGGAAGGGGGATAGCCTCGGGGTCCCCACTCGAAGCCTTTGGCTAGAAAGCTTGACCTGCAAGACAGCAGGACGGAACTCAGTCAGTAATCCATTGGAGGCCGGTGTCCGGTTCATCGGATCATATGCTCTTCGGACGAGGTCAAACTTCCAAGAAGCCCAATACACCTCGATGCCCAACCGAGCCGGTGACCTGTGTCACGACTAGGAAGGTTTGGTGGTTCGTACGCCTCATCTTAGTTGGTTTGGAATCAGGGTTTTTAGCCATCTGCCATAAGTGAACTGTCACTGGTTCACCGACCTGGTTATAGCCCCAGATTTCGGCTTTTAGTCCTCACAATTTGGTGGGAAAAACACCTCCTCCACAGGAAGGCAATGAGCAGGGCTCCCTCACCGGAGGCTATTTGAGACGCTTGGTCATATAGGAGCGTTTCGCGAGGTGTAAGGGAATGGTGACCGGTAACAATCCCAGACACCTACCCCCGACCATACTGAGGCTTTCGGAGGCTACCCGTAGTTCGCATTAGCCCTCCCTTGCTCGTTCGGTTACTGTGGCAGCTATTGAGAGATTATGGTTTCTCCTGTCAGTTTTGCACACTGGTGCGAAATATCATCTCGAGCATTGAGGTAGTACATTCCAATTTCCCAAGCATATTTTTTTCCGACTGACCATGTCTGTTTGTACGACTTTCGTGTTTCAACGTACAATGAAAGTTTGTGATGTTTATATTTCGTATCAGTCCATCAGTTCCTACAGTCGGACGCATGCACGTGAAAGTGGGTTCGCTCAATCTGGTGTGTTTTTATACCCAAGTTTTGGAGGGTTTCGATGCGATTGATTACAGAAACGATGTAGACGTTCCTTAATTGTGAAAAAAATACCATAAGGTGATCGATTGAGTAAGATAATGACAGTCTTCAACAAATTGTTCTTGTAGTTACCGTGTCAGTTTTCTATCGAAAATCAATGTAATTGTCTGTTGCCAACAGTTGTGAATTTTTTCGGGGGTTCCTTCAGTAGTTGGCCAGACGTACTATTGTAAAATGAATGCATTTGTTGCATTTTCTGCACCCCGTCTCCACTCACATGTGAACAGGACATCCCCGTTCAGAAGATCTAAAATTCGTCTACTCAATTATGAATCCGCCAACCCTGTTGAATCTTTCCGAGACTGATCCGATTTTGCTCAATCGTCCTCCGTTACCGGACCAGTCGATGGCCCAGCTGACTGTACTGACTGCGTTGAATAAGGCTTTGCTGGAGAAGTCAGAGGAATCCTGTCCTTCATTGACTCCAGCCACAATGCAGGTAGCCATGTTCGACTGGATCGGTGTGTATCCGGCCGATTTCGCCAATCTGGAAGATGATTATCTCACTTACGTGTATGCTCCGCCAGCCAACAGTGGCAGTAGCTGCACCTCCAGCTCCAGCGGTGGGGGCTCAAAGTTTGCGAACAGCAATGCTGCCGGGGCTCGGTCATCTTCACCCGCTCACATAAGCTGCCATACGGGGCGTGTGAACGCACGAGCCCTGGCGCAACTGAACAATCAGTCTATCGTGTTGGTGTATTGGAGTCGAAAGAAGAAATGCCCCCAAGGCTACAGCACCCCAATCTTGGTAAGTTTTCACCTCACTCCTTGTTGATATCTCCTTCTTTTTGATACGATACACTTGTTTGTTTCTTCAGGGGAAAGTGGTTTTCTCATGATGGTAACCAGATCACGATAAGTAGCACTGGTTTCAGTTTTAGTTTTCTCGATCTGTAACTCTATACCATCGTGAAACAGTATGGTTCCACTACCAATTTTTTCAAATGATGAAGTATATTGAATTCACTCCAACTAAATGGTGCATATCAAATTAAAGATGTACAAAGCAAACACACTAGATTTTTGTAGAAAGGTGGTAGTAGTAGCACGATCGTCTTTGTTTACGACACTCCGTCATACCATTCAGTGTCTCTAAACATCAAGCAGGTTATTCACAAGGCCAGCAACTGGCAAGTCTAATGTGAGCCACTGTGACCGAGAGCCCCCTGGTCAAGATTTACATACTGTCATGCCGAGTCTTATTCTGCCCACTTTTATCCTTCCTCCATCCACCCATTGCAAGCATTGCATTCTTATTCGGTGCTATGCAAAACACACCCGGCCACCAGCACATTCTTCAAAAGTCAAGCGCTTGCATCTGTGCGCCACCGCGACTACCTATATCACATCACCTTACCTCAGCGTTGCTTGTCCGTTCTATCTACACTAACGCTCAGACTATACGGAACAAATTATAACTTACCTGATTCTTCAATCAACAGTAGTGTCAGACCCATTGATACCTTCAACAATAAGGACGCGGTAAGTCTCCCACGGAATTGCACGGTCTGACTGCTGGGTTGGGTTCCAGAGACTCGAAATCTCCCAATACCCATTCCATGGACAGTAATTTTGTTCGTATTTAACTGAAGAGACGTCATGCAGAACGTTTTTTGAGTTTATAAACTTTGTGTATCAGCACACACACACACACTGGTTATCAATTTTACGTTCTGTGGTGTAAAATCATTGAACTCACTATTATCGGGATTAAATAATTGAGCTACAAACAGTATGTTCCGTCTTTCTTGCTTAAGATCGAGCATCAAAGTGATTGTGAATCCCACTGTCATTCTTCTCCTTCCTTCCCCTACCCCCTCCCTCTATTTTTGTGTATCTTTTTCAGATATGCGATTAAATGCCCACGTATTCAAACACAAACGGTGAAAATCAGACTCCTCCAATCGCAAGCGCTTTGTTCAATTCTTTCAACCTAGTTCCCTTTCTAATATATCTGCCAGTGTTCATCACCATGTCGCACTGATTTCCTTCTTACTGTTGGCCGTTTTTCTACGAGCCGTTTGTTTGCATAACGATCCCCGACATGAACAGCCAACTCTACCCGGAATTGTGCCTCTCCTTGTTTTCCTCTTCCTCCTGACTTTTCATCTATCAATCATGGAGCGTCACCGAAGTTCATCACTGTTCACTCCATTTTACTCCAGAAGACCTCATCGTGACTGACCGAAGCATTTGCTTTTTTCTTTTCGCTTTAATTTGTCCGCTGTCGATTTCCTCTCTTGATTTGTAGGTGGTCTTCGATGTCGTCGATGCTTCTTTTTGTGTCCGCACTGTCTCTTTCGCGCCTTTATTTTGTGCACTGTTTACGTCATATTTTGCATTAGGCGGAACTGTGCCTTTCCTTGTGTGTTTCGTTCCCCTTCTCCCATGGATTGTGATAGCTGATCCTCATTTTCGAACTTGCGCCCGTTGGTGCCAGAGATTCAAAAAGTGACAAACCGTATCTATATATACTGTTCTCACTTAACCAATATTTCATTTTTACATCTGGGGGTTTTTATCGGTAACTTCTCCTCTGGAGAGTATATATTATGTTTTCACACACGTCTGACGCCAGACTGTGCCAAACACATCAGGGTACACTAATCTTCATGAAAAAGATAAATGTTCCATGATTTGCATGTGGGCGGAATACTACCAAGTTGCCCGGGCCAATGCAGGTGAATTTTCTTGAGGAATTCACAACCGGAGCCTTCGGCTAGCCGAAGCCCAACCCGCAAGGCAGCGGGCGGTGTGCAAAAACCGCAATCCATTGAGGGTCAGTGTCCAGTTTATCGTATCATTCGCCCTTCGGACGGGGTCAAGCGTCCAGGGTGCCCAATACACCTCGATGCCCAATCGAGCCGGTGACCACTGTCACAACCGGAAAGTTGTGTGTGGTTCGTACGTCTCCTCTTGGTTCGTTTTGAATCAAGGTTTTTGGTCAACTCCCATAGGTGAACTAGCATTGGTCCACCAACCCGGTTGTAGCCCCGGATTTCGGCTTTTCGTCCTCTCATTTTGGTAGGGAAAAACCTCCGCCACGAGAAGGTAGTGAGTAGGACTTCCTCATAAGAGGCTATTAGAGATGCTTGGTCGTATGGTGCATTTCGCGATGAGCAAAGGAAGGGTGACCAGCCGCAACCCGAGACACCCATCCCCGACCATATTGAAGCTTTTGGAGACTGCTCTTATGAGTTCCATGCACGAATAGCTGCCATTTATCCACTTGGATTTTGTGGACATAATGCTCCAATCACCGCAATCCCGGTTGTGTAGAGGCTTCCGGGAAAAAAATCGTCCGCTCATACTTATTTGATGCGGTCCTTATGTTCCGCGGAATGGTTATCGGTCTAACTTATCAGTATTGAATGGGGCCAGCGATGGTCAAGTATTTCAATTTCATTCAGGGTTCGAACTTCTGTCTTCTCGGGAGACCTGATTCGGTTTCCCATATCAGATTGCAGGGCTGATAAATTGAATTCGTGTTAAATACTACAATTTCCACTGTAAGCAACGCCATGGTATCGTTGGAAATGTTGCCAGTCGGAGGTAAGTTTTTCGATAGCTAGCTAGTGAGAAAGCTTAATGCACTAGTAAGAAGAGCTGAAGTGCCATAAAGATTGAACACAGTAAACACATTAACAATTACTATGCCGAGAAACGTTTTCGGAAGATTTCATTGAAGTCGTGTTCAGTATGCTACGTCAAGAAAGTCAATGATAGGCTTTAGGCCATTAATCTTTGGAACTGGGTAGGAGTCTACGCTGGTGTGTGTGTGTGTGTAGGTGAATCGTTAGTCAGTTGTTGTGAGCTTTCTTTTCTGTCAATCTTCACATCAGTCCAAGGCAGTTGCAGCCTTGAACTAGTCTTTTTCGGCATTTGGGTCCGGGTATNATCAGGTCCAAATTCCGACTGATTTCAACTGATTGCGTGGTATGCGATACGCAATTCCGATTCGACCGTCTATCAGATACCTACAGTTACCCTGGAGGTAGTGTTGGTTTATCCCTGACTTAATAATCTCGGGTTTGGGTGAACGCGTTGAGGCAAGCTCCTAACTCTGCACCCAGTATAACATGCGTCTTAGACGAAATTGAAAAGATAAATTAACATGGAGGTCAGTTTTGGCGGTCCCATTTACATTCGTATCACCGTTGAAATACAGAACGCTGTTAGAACGGAGCTTAAACAGCCCGTTGGATCGCGCAGACCTTCCAGTCAGGCCAAACGCACATTCGCAACGCTCCAGACAGGTTGAGCCCGATTGGATGATTACAGTACGAGTCAGTCAGTGTTTGTCCTATCAATCGTTCGATATATCAAGGACGCACGCGATCTGATTGATTAGTGCGCCACTGCGCCGTTATCGTTTGCGTGATTTGTTCTATTTATTTGCGTATCGAACTCTAATCAGAAATAAATACGTGCTGACTTAAGTCTCCAGCTATGTTCTCTGAGCGTTGCTGTTAGGGCTTAAGAGTCGCTCGTGTCAGTTATAAGTCTAGGCCGAACAAAACGAACACCTATCTAAGTATGTCTGCGGGTAACGTGGAATTCATAGATGCTCTAGGTGACCGTGATAAACTTTCAGTGTTCGAGTCCCTCTTGGACGGATTCCTTGTGGACAACTGTTCAGTTCACAGACTAATCGTTCGTTTTCCGTAGTGGATTGAATATTCTTGTTTATAAACTTTTCCGGATGAGCATTAGCCTGCACTGTTTGGCCGCTGAATCGTACTTATTGATCCACTTCCTGTTGAACAAATCTTCCAGACTCGAAGGGGACAGAGGCAACACTAGACTGCGTTTTTGATTAAAATGATGAAACTATCAAAACGAGTACGTGGACCATCTCATTTTGTCTTTCTTCTTTTCGGGAATAGCATATTGGCTTCTACACCTACAGTGGAATTTGGCTATCGGTGTGCTTTGACAAATGACACCAGTGTCTTTGATACGTCGTGTTCTTGATCCGTCATAGAGAAAATATGATCCAAGTTGAAGCTAGGTTCTTCATAATTCCACACCATGTTATGATCTAACCGCCACAAGTTAGACTTTGATATGATAGTTCTTTTCCTTGTGAAAGTGAGAATGGACAGGATAAGCGGTACGATAACAGCGACTAAGGTGAACATTAACTTAAATGATAATAGCAATCATGGCACCGAGCATTGGTCATTCAAAGTTTTTAGGCAACCTATGAGGGAGCGGACACCAGGGGTTTNTAAGCCATCCGATCAGTTGAATTCTTGGCTCTACAGGCAAAATGGGCTGGCTGTCCATGTACAGAGGAAAAACGGATAGGCACAGAACGGCACCTTAAAACACTACAATCAATGATCATAATTTTCTAACAATAATGGAAGTAAATTCAGACCAAATTGAGAACTAATCAGGAAATACAAATAGTACGACCGTAGGCTAAACTCAGAAATAACTTGAAGGGGAATTCATCGATCGGACATTTCCAAGGGACTTGCGTAATTAAGAAGTGCACGTTTATCCGCTGAAAGTGGGCTGCGCAAGGAGTCAGTTTGCAGGCAAATTCCATGGGATTGTAAGAGGCAAACAAGTGGACTGTTCAATTCAGCAAGACATTCTCAAATGTTTTCACCTGCACAGAATTACAAGGAATGGATCGGTGCATTTGGCATACATTCCTCTGATTTGAGTTTGTAAGAGAGATGGAGTGAAGAAGTGAAGACGGTCAGAATGATGAACAAGAGAGACCGAACACTAAGTATGTCCCAATAGGTGACATTAGGTGAATAACGTGTTTTGGGAAATGCGTGGGATTGCATCAACTTTGTGCTATATATCTAACTCTTATGTG